GAGGATAGGGCCAATTTCTTCCCACATAGAGATGAAAATGGCATTGTAGTTTGGTCTCATTTTGCTGTTTAGTGACCTGACGCCTTTGGTTTTGTTTCCCCTTTTATCCAAGTTCTCCAACTCCTTGTTCCTTCCTGTTTGTCGTTTCTGCTTCTCCAACTGCATTTTGATTTGTCCAGTTTAAAAGAGTGATGGAGAAACCATGTTAGAATATTCTGATGAAGATGGCACCTCTCCTCCCTGCAAGGGGAAGTGGTTCCCAGATGTTGAGGACATCAGGAACCATGCATGCATTGCCACATTCCCTAGTCCCAGACTGAAACTGAAAGGACTGAAGAAGTAACAGAAGGAGCAGCAACAGAGAAGGGCCAAGGGCTGACTGGCTTATTCTCTGATTTTCTGAGAGCCAGAGACATGAATAATCCTTTTATCCTGAGTAAGATTTTTCTAAGAATCTTCCTGAACCCATCGGTTTGCTTCAAAAGAACCTTCCTCTGACCATTACAAAGCAGGATTTTTAGAAGTCTACCTATTCCAAACATGGCTGAATAAAATAAGTCTTTTATCGTTAAGAAAGAGATCTACGGACAACATTGTGGGCTTCTCCTATTTTTCTATTATTATAATCAGCAGTGAATCAGAGGGAGTCTTCAAGCTCATATTACCCGTTTTGCTCAAAATTTGAATACCTCCAAATTCCCCATGAGAGTTTGGGAGTTTCCCCGTGAACCCAATCCCAACGAGCACAAGTGGCCAGGAGGAGACATTCTAATGAAGTCAGACCTCTTACCCAGTGAAAAGTCAGCACAGACCCGGTGAATTCAACCAGCAGAAGCCTTGCTTTAGGGGTACCAACCTCCTCATTGCCAGATTGTTAGAATAAAAGAGAAATTGAGAGCCAAAGGAACGTTGGTCGTTATAGTCAGCTGATTTGATGGAAAGCACATCCGTGCTCTGGGATGATGACGAACCTTCTTCACTGGAATCGAAGCTGTCAGCAGAGAGTTAACGTTTGTTAGCAGCTGCAGTGCACACAACCCAATGTCCTAGTTTTCTTAATTCTTTATCAGGTGACACTGGTTTTATGACTCACTCTGGAGACTGTAACTAGGACTGTGATTGGTCACATCCCTGTGGGCTTCAGGAAGGTCAAAGCTCAGCCTCCTAATATCCCTCCTAGTGTTAAATTGCAACTTCAGATAAGAGCAACCTGTGATTATTTGCTCAGCCTTAACTATTCCTAGGGATGAGCCTGAATCTTGATGACTGACAGAAACTTCAAAGACAACAGCAGTCACTCTATTGCAGGAGTTTTCCTAGTTAATATTCTTGGCCAGATTAGAAGTCTACCCCACACACCTCCCCTTGCCTCTGGCTCTTACTATACACGATGGTGCATTATCCTGCCCCCTTTTGAAGCCTAAATTTTGGGAGAGGATGAAAACCTAATTGGTAATTATACTAAATTTAACTTAAAATTATTGTGGGTGGGGCTGGCACCATGGTGTTGCAAGCTAACCACCATGAGCAGTGTCAGCATCCTTTGTAGGTGCCAGTTCCAGTCCCGATGGCCCCACTTCAGATCCAGCTCTCTGCTAATGGCCTGGGAAGGCAGCGGAGGATGGCCCAAGTGGGTCCCTGCACCCAAATGGGAGACCTGGAAGAAAAGTCCTAGCTCCTGCTTTCAGACCAGTCCAGTCTGGTCATTGTGACCATGTGGATAGCAAATCAGCAGATGCAAGATTTTGCTCTTACTCACTCTCTCTGTAACTCTGCCTTTTCAAGTAAGAAATTAATAAGAATAGATCTTTTAAAAAGATTAATGCGGGGTTTTACTATACCTGGATGTGGAATTGCAGTGTTTCAGAAAAAGCATGCTTCAACTTCATAAAATATGACAAACAGATTTCCCAAATAGTTACACCAATTTACACTCCCACCTGTAACGTCTGAGTTCCCACTTTAACACATTCTTGGCAACATCTGGTGTTTGCAGACTTTATTTTTACCAATCTGATGAGTGTGAAATAGTGTCTCATTTTGCCTTTAATTTGCATTCCCTGCTAGGGAGCATCTTTTCATATATTTATTGGTCATTTGAGTTTCTTTTATGAATTGACTATTCAGATCTTTTTGCCTTTAAAAAAAAAACCTGGTACCTATTTTGATATAAGAATACCTAATATATTTTGGACACTAACCTTTTGATGTTCCTATATGTCGAAAAATCTTCTCCCAACCTGTGACTTTTTATTATTGAGTCTTTTGTGTAAATAACTTTCATGTGCTCAGTTCAGTCTACCTTGTCCTTGATGACATTCGATTGTGTGCTTTTAAAAAGAGATAGTGTGGGTCTGTTATGCTGGTGTAGTGGGTAAAGCTACCACCTGTGTTGCTGGGCCTCCCACGTGGATGCCCAGTTTACATCCTGGATACTACATCTCTGACCCAGATCCCTACTAGTGCCTGGGGAAAAAAAACAACAGGAAGGGACCAGACTGGCAGAGTGCATTAAGCTGCTGCTTACAGTGCTGGCATCCCATATTAGCACCAGTTCATGTCCCAGCTGCTGCACTTTTGACCCAGCTTTCTGTCAATGATCAAGAGAACTAACAGAAGATTACAAGAGTGTATGGGTCCCTGCCACCCACCTGAGAGACCTGGATGAAACTCCTGGCTTCTGACTTTGGCCTGACCCAGTGCTGACCTTTACAGCTATCTGGAGAGTGAACTCAGACTTTTTCTTTTATAATATTCTCCAGAATTTATGTTATTTGTGTATATCCCTTATACCAAGGTCATATGTGATTGTTGCACTTGTCTGTCTGTCTCCTTATTACAGACTTTCTCCATCTGTCAATTGTTAGGACCAAACATGTATTCATTTCTTCTTGTAATCCTGAGATATTTCATCTTGCTGTTAGGAAGACAGAGTTCAGAATTATTCTTAGCTCCTTGTGGGTTGTTATTTTTACTATAATGTGATAACTTTTTTTTTTTTTGTCTCTGATAATGTTTTAGCCTTAAAATGTTCTTACTGCTGGTATTGATACAGCAGTGTCAATTTTCTTTTGGTTTATGGTATGCTTCCCATTGCAGTTAGGATATGTTCAGTTGCACATAATAGACCACTTTGGCTTCAGTTATTAAAATAGATGGGGATGATTTTTCCCTCCGGGAACAAGGCTGGCAATCAATATAGATCTATCGGTTTAGGAGCTGAGCCTGCTCACACTCGGCGTGTCACTTCCCGTCCTCAGGCCTGTTTTCTCCCTCTCGGGTGTGCTGCAGGAGAGGGTAGGAGGCTAAGGGCAGCCTGAATGATGGCAATCGCCGGGGCCAATATCCTGTTTGGTATCTCTAGAGTTGGCAGAACACTGTTGATGACTGTAAAGGATCTGTGTTTACACACTTTTCATGAAGGTTCTTTAATTGGTGGGTGGGGACTTCTATTTCTGGAGCAAGTAAACATTATTGTTGCCCAAACCAGAATTTATGTAGGCCTGTGTTTAGAACCAGAAGTAATTAAATGCTTAACTCTTGGAATATCGAATATTGCTAGTTTTCTAGGAAAACCCTAAGTTGGTCAGTTTCTTAGCCTTAATACCGAGTAACAGCATAGTAAGGTTTTTCACAAATTGAATTCTTAAGTATTTAAGAATTGTTGATGTAAGATGATGTTCTCTCAAGAGCCAGCATCATTTTCTATAGGTTATCATATGACTAAGTAAATTTCAGTCTTTCTTGTGAAGTCTTCCAAGTATCCCTTGTGATGTAGAGAATGTGGCCTCAGACTCTCCCTTCCCTTATCATGTTCTCTGCACCGACCAGTGCATTTGGTTTCACATCTCACATTTCCCTGGACTGTTAAGGCAGGCCTGTTAAACCATCAGCAAGCTCTGTGTTTGCACCTGTAGTCTTCCACATCTGTAAAGCAAGTGGATCAGTTTCCATTTCATATCAAAAAGGTCTAATCCTGTATTAGACCATTCTAGAGCTTCCCAGAGACCCCCTAGAGCAGTATTTCCAGATACCTAATGTTTGATTTATGCCAGAAGTTAACAAAGCATTCTTTCATTGAGCTCTCTTAGGAAGTAAAAATACCTATAAAAAACAGAGCTCCACCATTAAGTGAAGATAGCTAATTGCATTCAAAGCAGGAAGCCTTTTCTTTGAAAAGACTGGAGTGAGTGTTATTTTTAACTTCTTAGGATCAAGTGTACCCAGGTTGGGGGTGCGGGAGCACCTACTAGATAAATGCTTACTGAACACCTGCACTCCTAGTTGGATATTTTCTTTGAGAGCCTGAGACTGCTAATCCAATCTTGAATGCCCTTTTGTCATCATTAATTCTCGTCCAACACAATCTTGTTTGAACAGAAGCAAGGTGGCTTCTCATTGTGGGATTTGGAAAGTGTTGCTTGTATGAGATTAAGCCTTGTGAACGTGTTTCCCTTTTAATTGTGTGCTGTTTGGTTTAACTTTGCATGTTGCTGAGTCACTAAATGAAATGTACCCATAAAACCTCTTGAGGGAGAAAAGTTTTCAGAAACTCACAAGTATTCCACCCCACTCCTTTTATGGGTATTTTTCTATATGACAACATTACCTTTGACTGAAATTATCCTTTCTGAGGTGAAAGCACTTTGCATTTCCCCTGTCCTTTCGAGAGCACCGAATCCTAACCACTAGAGCAGCAGGGAACACCCCGTGTCCTAATCAAAAAGAACTAATACTTCTTGACTAATTCACCTGTACAGCTTTTCATTTGAAAACTCAGTTTTCATTATTCTGCATACAGTGATCATCCAAATTTAATTTCTCTTTGTCACAGATCTTGATTTTAAGTCATCTTACTGTTTCTCTGCCCTATACAACCACATCTTACATTGAAATCCTGTATTACTGTTTGTGATTATGTGATCATTTCTGTTTACATATTTTAATTAAATTGAATTTAAGTTTTGTTGTGTTTTAAGTATTCTAAAACAATCTTTCAGCCATGGAAACAAAGAAGTGTTTTCCTGCCGAGGAATAAAATTGGCGGTGGATTGGTTTTTGGAGAGAGGCCACAAGGATATCACAGTGTTTGTGCCTGCGTGGAGGAAAGAGCAGTCCCGGCCTGATGCTCTCATCACAGGTGAGCCCGCTCGGGACCAGAGGCGCTTCGCACTGCCTCCCGTGTTAGGCTCAAGCAGATGTTGGTACTCAGATGCCTTGTTTCTGTCTGCTCAGTGTAACTCTCACATTCGCTTGGGTGGGACATTCAAGTTATTTTCAAATTTCGAAAATCTGATTTTGTTAACCAAATGCCAGCCCTTGCTTCATGTCGTTTTGTTTTTGCTCTTCAGCTGTGTGGAAATTTTGACTTCAGACTTTGGAAAATTGTAACACGCACAGTCAACTAGCAGGGTACCTAGATTCAAATTCTGGCTTTGCCAGTATTAGAGCAAGACACTGAACTTCTTTAGACCTCAGTTTTCTCATGTGCTGTATAAAATTAGCATTAGGTACACTAATCAAAATCGTATGTAAATGAAAGCTTCCTGAGCATGAAAGGGTTGGCAAAGCAAGAGGCGGGGCCAGGAAGGACAGAGTGCAAGGGGTAGCTGGGTTTGGTTTTAAAGTACCATCCTTCTGGGTCTCCAGAGTGTGTCCCTGTACAGTTTCCTTTGCAAAATGATAGAACTACCCCAGGCTAATAATTATTTTCTTTCTTTTTAAATAATTATTTTAATTATTTGAAAGGCACTGTTAGAGACAGAGAGCTTCCATTATCGCCTAGTTCACTTACCAAATGGCTGAGCCAGGCCCAGCCACAGGCAAGAGCCAAGAGTCTCCCCACATGAGTGCAGGAGCCCAAGCACTTGGGCCATTTCTGCTGCTCTCCCGGGTGCTTTCCCAGGACCTGGATTGGAAGTGCATCCACCAGGACTCAAAGCAGTGCCCATCCGGGATGCTGGCAATGCCAGCAGCACCATAAGCCACTGCACCACAGCACCAGCTCTGAATGATTTTCTTGATGAAAGCCCTCTTCCAGACAATACCTGATAAACTGAGTAATCCAGTAGTAGAAACCTGCTATAAAAGCAGAAACAAAAAAAATCTTAAAAGTTGTCAGTCTTAGATCCAGTCTAGCACTTTTCCCATTCGTTTAACAAATATCTCACAGGCTGTAGCTATATATGAGGCACGGTGCCAAGGAGGAGAGATTTAGTGAATTAGCAACTATGCTGAGTACATCTTTTTAAGTTAAAGTTGTTTGCACATGATGCTAACTAGTGTCAGTCCAACTTTACCAGCTGCTGAAGAAATGCAAGCTAAGCCAATAATCCCCATGAGGCAGACACACTGGCTCCTCCCCTCTTTTCAGTGACGTTCAAGACATACCATGGAGGAGTAAACAGTCTCAGGGATGATACCGTGCGGTGGCTTAGCTGTGAGCATGGTCTCTTAGTAAACTGTGCCTGCTCCCACTTCACGGACATTGAACAACTACTGACACACCTCATGTGCTGGCTGGGTGCTGATGGGTACAAGGATGAATGAGATGTGATGTCTGCCCTGCCAGTGCCCATCAGGGAAACACATCAGGTAATCCTTATGTGCCAAAGACTCTACGTGGGCCTGGGCTTTGGATTTCATGTTGGGTTTCTCTGGATTTTTTTTTGAAAGATCAACTGTTACGTGCATCTGTTAACATGAAGTAGAAGAGCACAGTGTTTAAGAAGAGGCTACTGGCAGACATACTGCTGGGGACTCTGGACACTTGCTAACGCGTGTTTCTCCCCATGACCTGTCAGCAGCGTTTATGACTGCCTGATGTGGAACGCAGTAGCACCTGAGATTTATCTATGATTTTTTTCTTTTTTTTTTTTTTCTTTTTTAGGTTTTAATGCCCACGTTTCTTTCTGTTGCCCTTCTCTTTTCTAAACTAAGGTTCCAGTCTTCCCGAACCTAGTTGTCAGGAATGCCGTAAAACCTAGCTGCCAGTGTTAGAGCAGGCTCATGTCACTCTTCATCCCCTCCTCCTATGCGCTCTGCTGTGCTTCTGTGAAGGCATCTACATTCCTGCTTTCTGGCTGACCTGTCTGTCCGCTGCGCCGAGACTGACCTGTCTCAGGACAGACCACTCTTCATCTCTGCTGCCCGTGACACCGAGCATGGCATGCACCACCGAGTGGACATAGCAGTTGTCTCTTGAAGAGATGCAAAGAGGCAGAGAGGCAAAGTGAAAGAGCTTCTTTCCATTGGTTTACTCCACCAGATCTTCACAACAGCCAGGGAGCTAAGGCTAGGAACCAGGAATTCAGTCTAGGTCTTCCTTGTGGGTTGCTGGAACCCTGGCTCTTGAGCCACCGTTTGCTGCCTCTCGGGGTCCATGACAGCAGGAGACTGGAATCAGGAGCCAGGAGCAGCAACTGAGCACAAGTACTCTGATGCAGAATGTGGGCATCTGAACCAGCAACCTCACTACTAGGCCAATCACCAGCCCCAAGACAGAATTTCTCTTAATAAAATAGAGCTAGTTGTCACACCTGTTGCATAGGAAGCAGCACAAAACAGTTAATAGCCAAGTCCCTAGCAACACATCTGGCCTCATTGATCTATTCTCTTAACTTCTTATATTTTAAGATTTGTTTCCCCCCAAAATTACTGTGACTTAGCAAGTAAAGTTACTGCCTGGGATTCTGGCATCCCATATGGATGCTGGTTCGAGGCCCAGATGCCCTACTTCCTACCCAACTCCCTGCTAATTGCCAATGAAAAGCAACTGAAGATGACTCAAACGCTTGCATCCCTGCTACCCACGTGGGAGATGTGAATGAAGCTCCCGGCCTGAATCAGCCTGGCTGTTGCTGTCCCCTGGGGAGTGAGCCAGTGGTTGGAGGATCGTTTTGTCTTGCCCCTTCTCTATACAGCTCTTTCAAATGAAAGTATACATCTTTTTTAAAAATTTCCCTTTGCTACCTTGATTGTCTCTATTATTTCCTTCCAGGCTCTTTTACCATCACATTTGTGAATTTAAAAAAAAAAAATCAGAAAATACTTTTTTTTAAAAAAGGGAGCAGACATTTGGTTCAGCATTTAAGATTCCCACCTCTCACATTAGCGTGCCTGGGTTCTAAACCCAGCTCCAAATCTTGGTTCTAGTTCCTCAGTGACACAGAGCCTGGGAGGCAGGAGGTGATGGCTGTGTGGGAAACCTCGACTGAGCTGCTGATTCCTGAGCACAGCCCCAACCCAAACTAGACCACTATGGACATTTGGGATATGAACCAACAGATGGGGAGCATTTTCTGTCTCTTTTCCTCCCCGTCTTTTCTTCCTCTTTCTCCTCTCTAACCCTCTCTCTTTTCCTCTCTCCCTCCCTCTTTCCCTTTCAAAAATAATAGAAGAGTTTTCAAACACACGGACTTTGGAGGTTAAGGACTTGTTGTTCACACCTGTACATGCACAGCTGCGTGGTTGGAGGGCCCTTCCAGAAAGGATGGGGAGGAAGCTGGTCACCATGCTTGTGCTGGTGGCTCCAGCTCTTATGCAAAAGCTCTATTCAATGAGAATCAGAATTTGCTCATATTTAAGTGTTATTATGCCTTTTAACTAGACTTAAAGTTCTTACGACTGAAATTCTTAATGAAAAATATTGGGAATAGCAAATCATGCTATTTCTATGAACGGTAAAGCATAATCCCTAATTAAATGATTATATGCATTCCAGTTCACAAAACGGTTGTATGAAAATCACCATACTTGATATGTTTGTATTTATTTCTAAAGTCTGACTGTTGCTGTTTTGGCAGATCAGGAAGTTTTACGTAAACTAGAAAAGGAGAAGATCCTAGTGTTTACCCCGTCCCGGCGGGTGCAGGGGAGACGCGTGGTGTGCTATGACGACAGGTTCATCGTGAAGCTGGCCTTTGAGTCAGACGGTATCATTGTGTCCAATGATAACTACAGGGATTTGGCTAACGAGAAACCAGAATGGAAGAAGTTCATAGACGAGCGATTATTGATGTATTCCTTTGTCAATGACAAGTAAGTAAAGCCGTTTCCTCAACCCACTAGCGAGGTGGCTTCCCTGAAAGCCTCGCTGCCCCTGGCAACTGCTGTGGAATCCTCCCGCTTTTACTACTTAACGCAGCTCTGAAGACAGGCTCCTGAGGTCAGCTTCCACACAGATTTTCAGCAGCAGTCGCAAACTATAAAACCATGCCACAGGAGGCCCAGTGGGAGAGCTAGGCCCTGCCCTGCCCTGCCCTGCCCTGCCCTGCCCTGCCCATCACTAACAGAGCCTGTGAGGCACGGTTCTGTTGAGACTTCCTCTAAGAACCTGGCAAGGCTGACAGAGGGGGAATTCCCATCTGCGCCCCAAGAAACCATGGCTCAAAATTACAGCACTGGTAGCCTACAAAAGACAGAATTTTTAAAGTTGGGTTTGTCAGTTTTAGTCTGTAGTCACAATTGAACAAATTGACATAAATAAACATTTCTCATGAGAAGTAAATGCAGGTATAAATATGTAGAAAAAGTGCAACTGTGGTCAATCAAAAATGTAAACCAACTCTAAAAAGAATATATTTTTATCACATATGAACTTCACAACACTCCTTATACTGTTAAAGATGCATGTAAATTGATGTGCAGGTTAGCACACATTAATTAGCACAGCCTTCAAAAGTATGCATACCCTCTCAACCCAGTAAACTCAATTCGTTATTATTATTATTATTACAAAGTTATATGTAGGGAGGAAGAGAGACAGAGAGGAAGATCTTCCGTCCAGTGATTCACTCCCCAAGTGACCACAATGGCTGGAGCTGAGCCGATCCGAAGCCAGGAGCCAGAAGCTCTTCTGGGTCTCCCACACTGGTGCAGGGTCCCAAAGCTCTGGGCTGTCCTCAACTTCTTTCCCAGGCCAAGATTAGAACTGGTGCCCATATGGGATCTTGGCACATTCAAACGAGGACTTTAGCCACTAGGCCACCACAATGGGCCCTCTCAATTCTTAGGATCTAAAATGAAGAAAAAAAGAAACACCAGATATGTTCATTGCTATACTGCTTATGATCGCAGGGATCCAAAGGCAACCAACTATACAACAGAGAAATCAACTCTTGCTGGAATATTATTCTGTTGTTCAGAATGTTTTATTTTAAAAGCTATTAAGAAATACAAAAAAAATTTCATGTTAAAAAAAGCATATGATAGAATTTAATTAAAACTGAATGTGGTAACAATGTGGACAATGACAAATCCAACATACACATGAAAAAATGATTTGAAATTATGAACTAGAGTGACTTTATCTTCTATTGTCTTACCTTTAATGTTGCCATATTACTTTGAGAATAAGCACTTTATTTGCTGGATAAACACCGCATGAGCTCATACGGTATTTACATTCTTCACATTTTATAATGCTTGTGTTCATTTCAGATATGAACAATGGCATGTTAAAGTGGTAGCATTCTCTACTCTTACTTTCATTTGGTTAGGCATGCCATGAATTCTTTCCTCCACTCATTGAGCAGTCACTCCAGAATAATAAGTTTGCCTGTGTAAGGTTTATTCCCCACAACCCCCAGTTGAGATGCACATTGTGCAATTTAGAAGAGAATAGATTTTGGAGTTACTTATAATAGACTCTTGATGTACCATGTACATTAGTTAAAAAGAATTTACTCACCTGAACCTAAATTGGAAAAATAACACTCTAAAATGGAGCTGCTTGCTGGGATTATAGTTAGGATGACGTGGAACGGTGTGTGTAAAGTGTCTGACCAGTAATTAGCGCTTGCCAAGGCTCCTCTTCCCATGGCGTCCTGCCTCCTGCCCTCTTCCGCAGCTGCTCATTCCCCTCCTGTTTGCTTTGACTTTACAAGATTAATATTTGTGAAGCTCTCTTAAAATGCCATTGCAATTGTTTTCAAAAATCCTTACAAAATCCGAGGAAAAGAATTAATTACTACATGTTAGACTGGAAACATGGCTGAATTAAAACAAATACAAGTTCAGATTGAAACATTTTGTTTTCATTAAGAAAAGAAAACTTCATACACTCATTTTCTTATTCTGTAAATGTCAACTCAAAACACTGGGATTAAAATTTCGGAAAAATAACGTCAGAGCAAACAAATCTGTGTATTGTATTGTTAGAATTACAAACCATTTTTTATCATCTCCTTGGCAGGTTCATGCCCCCAGATGACCCTCTTGGCAGACATGGCCCAAGCCTGGATAATTTCCTGAGGAAGAAACCAATTGTTCCTGAACACAAAAAGCAGCCCTGTCCATACGGTACCTTTTTCTATGGATATATCATAGATACCTTCACATACAGTGTTACTGAAGATTTATTTACTTTTTATTGGAAAGGCAGATTGACAGAGAAGGAGAGACAGAAAGATCTTCCATCCACTGGTTCACTCCCCAAATGGCCGCAACAGCCAGAGCTGAGCCAATCTGAGGCGAGGAGCCAGGTGTTTCTGGGTGTCCCACGTGGGAGCAGGATCCCAAGGCCTCGGGCCGTCCTCGGCTGTTTTCCCAGGCCACAAGCAGGGAGCTGGATGGGAAATGGAGCAGCCAGGATCCAACCTGGTGTTCATATGGGATCCTGGCATTTTGTAAGGGGAGGAAAAGATAGTTGAGCCATTATACCAGGCCAACACTAAAAATTTTACATGACATAGAATGTGGTTCTTTTTATTATAATCAAATTTAAGAAAATGTTAGCCAAGAGAGAGTTATTGTTAGTAGTGGATTCAATGTAAGCGTATTGCCCAAATTGAAACACGGTTCGAAAAACTCAGTTAATCCTACATGAAGTTAGTTTTCAGGTGCATAAAAGACTGTAGTTCTTACATCTAGCTACAGTCTGGCGATCATGGTGTTTATTCTATCATGGTGGTATATGCTTCCCTTCAAAGCAGAATTTCCTATCGATTATTAAGTCCTATCAAGATGGAAGAGCCAGGTATGATTTGAGAAAGTGGAATATTAGCCCAAAACTCTGTCGGTGATTATTTGTCTTCCACCAACTTCTGTACTGCTTTTTTTTTAAAGATTTAATTTTGGTTTTTTATTGGAGTATGAGATTTACATAGAGGAGAGACAGAGAGAAAGATTTCCATCCACTGGTTCACTTCCCAAGTGGGTACAACAGCCAGAGCTGAGTAGATCCAAAGCCAGACACTTCTTCCAGGTCTCCCATGTGGGTGCAGGGTCCCAAGGCTTTGGGCCGTCCTTGACTGCTTTTCCAGGCCACATGTAGGGAGCTGGTTGATAAGTGGAGCAGCTGGGATACAAACCAGTACCCATATGGGATCCTGGTGCATGCAAGGCAAGGTTTAGCCACTAGGCTACCACGCCAGGCTCTGTACAGATATTGATAAGAATCAGGAAAACTGAGCACCTGTCCTCTCCTGACTTTATCTCTTTTTTTAAAAAAATATTTATTTATTTTTATTGGAAAGGCAGATATACTGAGAGCAGGAGAGACAGAGAGGAAGATTTTCCATCCGATGATTCACTCCCCAAGTGAGCGCAACAGCCAGTGTTGTGCCAATCTGAAGCCAGTTGTCAGGAACCTCCTCCAGGTCTCCCATGCAGGTGCAGGGTCCCAAGTCGCTAGGCCATCCTCAACTTCTTTCCCAGGCCACAATAAGGAGCTGAATGGGAAGTAGAGCTGCCAGGATTAAAACCGGTTCCCATATGGGATCCCAGTGGGTCTTCAAGGCGAGGACCTTAGCTGCTAGGCCACTGTGCCGGGCCCGACCTTATCTCTTTTAAGGTTAAAATAGCAGGGCTGCCTTGGATTTTCAGCATCTGATTGGATGTCCCTTTGCCTAATTAATCTTACCCTTTATAGGAAAGAAGTGCACCTATGGACACAAGTGCAAATACTACCATCCCGAGAGGGGCAGTCAGCCTCAGCGCTCAGTGGCTGACGAACTTCGAGCCATGTCTAGAAACACAGTGGCCAAAACTGCCAACGAAGGAGGACTGGTGAAAAGCAACAGTGTCCCTTGCAGCACTAAGGCTGACAGCGCTTGTGATGTCAAACGAGGTGCCCCCAAGAGGCAATCAGATCCAAGCATAAGGACTCAAGTCTACCAAGACCTAGAAGAAAAGCTTCCCACCAAAAACAAACTGGAAACCAGGTCTGTACCTTCCTTAGTTAGTATACCGGCTACTTCTACGGCAAAACCCCAAAGCACTACATCTTTAAGCAATGGCCTTCCATCTGGAGTTCATTTCCCACCTCAGGATCAAAGACCACAGGGACAATATCCTCCAATGATGATGGCAACCAAAAATCATGGAACGCCAATGCCTTATGAACAGTATCCAAAATGTGACTCGCCAGTTGACATCGGGTATTATTCCATGATGAACGCATATTCAAATCTGAGCATCTCAGGCCCACGAAGTCCTGAAAGGCGGTTCTCATTAGACACGGATTACAGGATAAATTCTGTAGCCTCTGACAGCAGTGAAGGGAGCATGAGTTGTGGGAGCAGTGACTCCTACGTGGGCTACAACGACCGCTCCTACGTCAGTTCTCCTGACCCACAGCTGGAAGAGAATCTGAAGTGTCAGCACATGCACCCTCACAGCCGCCTTAATTCCCAGCCCTTCCTGCAGAATTTCCACGATCCCTTAACCAGAGTGCAAAGTTACAGTCATGAAGAACCAAAGTTCCATCACAAGCCTCCTCTTGCGCACTTGGCTATGCATCTGCAGCACCCGGCTGTGGGGGCCCGCTCCAGCTGCCCTGGCGACTACCCCTCCCCGCCAAGTTCAACACACTCTAAGGCACCCCACCTCGGCAGGTCCCTCGTAGCCACGAGGATCGACAGCATTTCAGACTCTCGACTCTACGACAGCTCTCCTTCCAGACAGAGGAAGCTTTATTCCCGCCAGGAAGGGCTGGGCAGCTGGGAGAGGCCCGGTTACGGGATGGAGGCGTATGGGTATCGGCAGACTTACTCCTTGCCGGATAACTCCACACAGCCGTGCTATGAGCAGTTCACCTTCCAGAGCCTACCCGAACAGCAGGAGCAGACCTGGCGAGTGCCATACTGTGCGATGCCACAGGATCCTCCGAGGTACCAAGACAGCCGGGAGAAGATCTACATCAACCTGTGCAACATCTTCCCACCTGAGCTTGTGAGAATCGTCATGAAAAGGAATCCTCACATGACCGACGCCCAGCAGCTCGCCGCAGCCATTTTAGTGGAGAAATCCCAAATGGGTTATTGAAAGCTGATGCATCTTTGTGGTGTTTAGTAGTTTTTTGTTCAGCTTAAATGCTGAGGGAGGTTTGCTACAATAGCACATGTGATCTTCCCAGCGAGGAGGTCATGTAGTATCCATTTATGTGAAATACTGTATCATGGAATCTGTATTATAGCCCCACACAGTGGAAATATCACAGATTGTTTTACATTCAAGCTTTTTTTAACATTTGCTTTTTAAAACTATATCCTTGGCTGGAAGTTTTTCCAGTTTGATTTAATAGATGTATCTGTGATCTTTGATATTAATCTTTGGTGCATCAGGGGTTTATATGCAGCACTTTTTATCCTTGTTTCATGTTTTATTAACTGGGAGTTTAACTATCAATTGCAAGCAATTACGATATCTTCAGAATGTGCAACATTTGACTAGACCTAGCAAACTGGTTTTTTAAGCCAAGCTTAATTAGAATCTTTTACAGCTTTTTAAGTTATTTTTCTTTGGGGAAAGTGGGTTTCTTTGTGCTATGATCATAATTTATAGAGACAAAGATATACTACAGCACTGACTTTATATTTTAAACAAAGTGTAAGTTACCAATTTATGTTGAAATTGGCAACAGTATATATATATATGTATATATATACACACACACACATATATTAGAATGAGTTTCAGTATGGCACTTTTCGTTTTTGTTTGAGTTATTTTCTGTTAAGAAACTAGTTAATTTAATAAGATTTAAAAAGAAAACAGTTGCAATCAATGAAAAAAATTGTTCCCCCTTTTTTTTACATGAATAAGGCAAAAGCCGTCACTGTACAGGTCAGAGCTTTGTTACCCAGCTCTACTGTGCTTCTAGACAGTAGCAATGGAATGGGATTCCTAGGTTTTCCTTAGCCTGTATTTTCAATATGTATGTCTTTTTGTTTGGGGGCACAATAATACTGGATAAAATAACCCTTTTACAGTACTGGCCTATTTTTAATGAATCTAATTATTCTCAATGCAACTTTTATATTTAATATACTCTTTAGCTTTCCTGCTATTTATCAAGACTGGCCTGAGTGAATTTCTGTGTTGAGGATATGCAACCTTTATTGATAACTGCACTATAGAAACGGTGATGAAGAAGTTGTAAATGGTAACTTAATTTTTTTTGTAAGATACTGTATATTTTCCATTTTCCTGAAGGTAGGTTTTTTTTTTTTTGGGGGGGGGGGACCTGTTATATTATTAAGGCCAGATTCTTGCCACAAATAGTGTAGTTTTAGATCCAGACTCAAGTCTGTTCTAGTATTAGTAAGGGAGATTTCTGGTTTCAGAGTCATGGGCTTTGCCGGCAGTGAGTGCTTTCACGCAGGTTCTAGAAGACAGGTTTTGCCATCAGTGGCAGACAGTTGTGAGAGAGACATGACGTGGTGGTAATAGACACATTCAGCTCTGTTTCCACTGTCTGCCTGAAGGCCCCGGTCCCTGGGATGATTCTGTGCGGTCCCTGGGATGATTCTAACTGTTACAGTTTGAAGTGAAACCCTGAAAAACCAGAAAGTACCTTTTACTGTTGATACAAATTGTATCTTTTTAACTATAAGAGCTATTTTGATTTGTAGATCTAGTTAAAACACAAATGTGTAACTATGATTAGACTTTTGGGCAACATTTTATCGCTTATTGAAATATAAATTTTTAAAGTGAAATTGAGATTTAGAATAGGGTAGAAAATAAAAGTAACAATTTAGGTAAATACAAGTGTCTGTCTTAGTTTTATATAATATATTAAAATGTTGAATAAATTTATTGGCATTTTTCTTTCTCCTAAAACTTATCTAGTGTGAACTTAAAATAAAGGTAAAATGCTGCCTGAAAATAACGTCCAAGCACCTTTGACTAGGATAACATTTTCACTACTTGTGTGACACTGTGTGTTGCATGAAGTAGGATTTGGGTATACAGTAAATGCTTCTAAAAGGCATTGTGCATATTGACATATCCAATAATCTGAACCGTGTTCAGCAAACTTAATTCAGGAAAGTGGTGTTCTACACAATTATTGCTGTTGTGTTTGCAGTGAATGTGGCACTCATCTGTCCCCTGCAGTAAGACAGGTGATGCCACCCAACCATTCTGAGTGGTGTCTGTCCAGAGCGACCCTACTCACTCGTTCTGAAACTGTTCCACTTGAGTCTCTTGGTCACTATCTGTAGAACAGGTTTAAAGTAGAGGCTAAACAAGTGCCAAAACTAGGGTTACAAATAAATCGGGTTACAAATATGTAGTACCTTTGTAGTTATTTTTCTGAGACTTTCTTCTTTTTCGTATGAAATCGCTTTTTAATTGTATGTGTAGGTTTGACTTCCATTTTCTTCCTTCTAACGTTTAAATTATTTGAAGATTCTACCAAACCTTACTAAATTTGTTTGAAAGGCATGTAAGAAGACATGGATGTGATGCTTTTAATTTGACTTTCTCATATTTTTAATAGACTGTCACCATCTTTCTTGAACAGTCCTAGCCCCTACTGCCACACAAACCAGGTGACTAGCACTGAGCTAACCCACTCTCAGACCCTTCAGTGTCATTCACTGTGCACTCATCAAGAGTGGTTTTCTTGTGGTCAGGGGGATAATATGTTCTGTTTTTTTCTAATTGCTTTTTGTCTTGTTTTTATCAAAGCAGTAAATAAAAACCAATTCAGCATTAGATTAAGATCCTAGCTGATCACAGACCTGCATTTTAGCCAATACTTTCTCACTAATCCCTCTTGATCAGATTTGCTAAAACAAAAACCAAAAATGTAACCAGAAAGAGAGAAAAAGATGTGCTAATAAGTCATGAACTTGCCAGAAGTGATCAACCTATAGAAGAAAAAAATGACTTAGTCTGAAATATTCTGCCCCTGATTGGTGGACAGGGGACTGGAGTTTTCACTGTGATCAGCAGTCCCTAGTCTGTATTTCTTAGTCCAGAGGGAACAGTACCCAATGGCCAAATACTGGTCTTTTGTATTTGCACCTGTCTTTCATGTGATACAGAAACTTTTCATCTCATTTGTATAATCCTTGTTTCCTAACAGAGCCTGTCATTGACTAAACAAGGAAAGACATGCCCACTGTTATAAAATATTTGATACTAGTGGAAACGTGAATCTTTTGCTTTCACAAAAATTCAGCTTTGAAAATGTGTATAAAACTAAAGAAATGTTTTATATATCTATACACACACACATAATTGTTATAAAGCATTAAAACTGGGGAAAAGAGAATATTGTTGATGGCTGACTTTTCCCGGATTGAACTGTGTTTCTTTCAGTAGTGTTAGCCAAGCCTGAGGTCTGCATGACCAATGATAAGATTTAGAACCATTTAAATGGAAAGTAACTATTCACTGGTTTTATTCCTGGTATTTTTTAAAAATTAATTTGGTAATTTTAATAGGACTGCAGTTTTAAAATACACACAAAGTTGTGTTGATTATATAAATAATTATTTAACTTACCTTTTATGAATGTATCTATGTGTATATATACAGTAATATATTTATAAAACAAATATGCTTTATGTTGTAGGTCTTAGTTTGTGTTGTATGGGAGAATGGCTGGTGTGTGTATGTGTGTGTGTGTGTGTGTGTGTGTGTGTGTGTATGTGTAAAACTTTTAAGCTGTTTTCTCCTGACTTACGTCATTTACTCTAAAGTAAATACTTTTTTTGTTGTTGCTGTTGTTATTCTTCTTACCATCCAACTTCCTTAGTCAGTATAAAATAAAAATGTACGATGTTCTGGCTAGGAGCATGGCTCCTTCGTCTTTATTATTGTCTAAGTCCCAGACAACTCCTGAGCTAACAGAATTCAAACACATCATGGCTACAGATTGGCTTATGTTCCAAGTAAACTAAAGCTGAACATGCACCTGTGATGTTGTATTTACAAGATGTGTTCAATAGACAAGATGTATAAAAAGCTGTATGACACAAGGTGCATTTGAAGAAAGTGCAGAGTCAGAAATAGGAAAAAAATAAATATTATCTGCCATTGTCCGCGTCTCCCCTAAGGCAAGTGTTGACCGGCTTTCTCTGTGAAGTGTATTCCAGTGACTCGTTCAGATTTTGAGTACTGTGGTCACCTCTGCCCCTCCAGCATAAAGGCAGCCACAAACAGCATGTAAATGAATATGCATGGCTGTGTTCCAATAAAACTTTTTTTACAGAAATGCGCAGCAGGCCACGTTTGGCCATGATCTCTGCCCTGAAAGGACAACATTAAGGAGTAAACTCTGATGAGTATTAATATGAGAAGTAATCATTGTGTTTCACTTGACACTCATGGAAAACCTCTGTTACTGCCCTTCAAAATAAGGCCCGAGGCAGTCATCACAAACTATCTTCTTTTTTAAATCTGGTCACGCCTTTTATTTATTAGATACTTCTTGTGTCTAAAGCATTCTGTAAAAAGATGCTTCAATAAATATTGGAATTTTTTTCATGAACTTTGAATTTACCTGTCTTTGATTTCTCAGTGGCCTCATGGACCAAAAACTGTTATATTTTGACAATTAGCCAATAATTAGCCACAAATGTTTTAATGACTGCCTTTGTCAGTTTCATTCTTCTGTTCGTTTTTTTGGCTTCCAATAACTGACAGATCTTTCTTTAATACTGGTTTTACAGAAAATAAGTATGCTGTGATTTCACATACTAAAGCTTTCTTTTGTACAATTTGAAATTGTGACTAGTATAATTGTAGCTATAATGTCAGTGTATTTGTTACATTGTGACTATTAATGAGCAAGCAACTGTGTTTCTGCTTTCTCTGACCAAATGTTTAGATTCCTAAGAAATCTTAGGACTGCCAATAGTGAATGATGTTGTTAATATGATCATGTGTAATTTGGAAATCATTGAAGCACCCACCGTTGAGCATGTTTCCCTGTAATGCTTCCTGTATGGTGTTATAACATTTTCATGAGAACATTAAATAGTTCGTGAACATCACCATCTGCTTACCTGGTCATACTTTCTTTAAAACTTGGAACATTACTCTTGTTTTTAGTGGGGTTTCTTGTTTGAAATGGTTACATAATTTTGTGTGTGTGTGTTTTCTGTTAATTTGCGTATTATTTTTGTGGTAAGAATAAGATATTGCATGAAAAGGGACTTTCTTCCTAAGATCCTTAGAGTCTTTCGGATTTAAAAACAATCGGCAGTGGAAAATGTCACACACATTTAATTTAGTTTGGTAAAATATGTAGAGTATGATTTTCCAAGCCATGTGTCAGATGGCCAGTGTTCTATCCAAGCATTTCAGATGAATAACAAAGGTAGTCCAGGAAACCTTCACCACCTTTTGGGTTTTTTTTCTAAAGCAACTGACACTCCAAAGGAAAAGGGTGTTGGCGTTGGTGAGCAGTGGTTTGTGTCTATGAAGAATGTTCGCGACCTTTCACTCTGTGTTAAATACTCACAAAGAGACACAGCAGATCACTAAAGGTGATGTTTTCCTTGTAGATCTCTCTCTCCCAACCACAGCGGCATGCTGATAGTAGACCCTGCGAACCGGTCATGTGTTTAGAGCAGCCCTCTGATAAACAAATGTGATGTCACTTGCCCTCTGTCCTGTGTGCTTTTGTAATGAGACTTTTAAAATCCCAAAAGCAGTGTGCTAGATCTCTTGGAAATCCCTTTCAGAAACTGTGATTCTTTCACTGAGGAGAAAAATGTTTTAGAAAGTCATTTTGCTTATGGTGATCTGTTGTTTTTTTTTTTTTTTTCCATGAGGGTAGTGACCCCTGGCTTAGCACAGATGCTGAATAAATGAGCACGCGGGCCTGCAGTTCTGCAGGTGCCTGTATGCAGTGTTGGTGGCTTCATCTACGTGCTGTAAAGTGTAAGCACATGTTGTGGTATTAATATGTTAGAGGCCTAATTCATTCCTATGAAAATGGAAATTAAACATCACAACCAGCGATAAAGGCTTTTGGTGTGTTGCCTTTCTCATCTGTCTCCAGGTTTGTTTCTGGTGATTTTGAAGTGTCTTCAGGTATCTAGCTGAGCATGGTGATTAAAACGGGTCACTTATCCAGTGAGTTCACAAGAAATGTCGGGAGGCCTCACCGCTTGCCAAGAAAGTCCAGGAGTTAGCAAAGATGCAGAGGTCCTCAGTGCGGAGCTGTGTATGGGCACTGGACCCATTCATTCACTGAGCTTTGTAGTGGGTGAAACCACGAGAGGCTTGGGTCCCCGCATGGCCCCTTCAAGGAGGTGCTTGAATGTTTCTGTCTCCTGGGCATTTGAATGACTGAGAATGATAAGCAGAGAGCTTCTATCCAGTGGTTCACTCCCCAGACACCTGCAACAGCTGGTTCTGGGCAGGGCTGAATTCAGGAGTGGGAACTCCACCCTGGTCTCCCTCATGCAAGGCAGGGACGCAAGTACTCAGATCATCTCCCACTGCTTTCCGAGGCATATTAGCAGGAAGCTGGATTGGAAGTGAAGGGCATCAGATAAGGTATACAGATGTCCCAAGCGGGGGCTTAACCCGTACTGCAATACCCACCCCTGAGTAACTTTGAAGATCAGTTATATATGGTGGTGGGCATAAGAACAATTCAAGGACACAGGTAATAAAGTACAATGCTGCTTCCATCATCACACTTTTGCTCAAGTTCCTACCATTCTAAAAAGTATCCTCCTGGGCTGGCTGCTGTGGTATGGTAAGTAAAGCAGCATCCCAGCATCAGTTAAAGTCCCAGCTGCTACACTTCCAACCCAGCTCCCTCCTAACAACCTGGGAAAGAAGCAGAGGATGGTCCAAGTGCTTTGGCCCCTGCACCGGAAAGAAGCTCTTGGCTCCTGGCTTTGGATTGGCCCAAGGTCATTTGGAGAGTGAACCAACAGGTGAAAGCTCTCCTTTTCTGTATAATTCTGCCATTAAAACAAATAAAAGGAGGGAAAGGGGAAAGAAGAAAGAAAAAGGAAGAGAGAAAAAGAAATTAAAAAATCTTCCTGACCCTGTTCTAATAGTTTTCCAGAATCGAAGTATGAGACACAGTGACAGTACCCAAACATTCTAATGGCCTTCCTGATTTAACATGCCTGGTTCCTGTGTCAGGATAAAAGGAAGTTTTATTTCAGATAGCAAGGTTTTCCTCTCACATTGCCTTTCAGACATTGACTTTTGTTTGTTTTTCCTAGATGGCTATTTGTCCTTGTCAAGTTTTCTTTCTTGCCCGCTTCATGATCTTAAGTTAAGCTGCTTAGGATCCTAGAGGTGTAGTCTGTTTATTTTGGCTCTGTGGGCAGATTCACTTGTTGATTGGCAGGGAACTCAACCTATCCAAGATAAGCATTAGGCTGGGAACGGGAGCGGGCTGCAGGTGCTTCCTCAGGCTGAGCTGTCGGAGTAGCTGAGCCAGAACTCTGTGCCTTCTCCCACTCACCCCCCACTCCCCACCTTAGTACTGTTGTCTGAAGACAAAGGGGTGCTGCATGTTGATGAATGAAGTAGCACTTGGAAGGAAGAGATCTGTGAAAAGCAACTGCCGTGATGACTTTATTAGTGTTTGAATCTTATCTAAACTTAACAACTGGGTCTCCTCCCAGTTAAACTTATGTCCTTAGTGTTTGCGCCTTAGCCTTGGGAGCTGTTGTCAAGTGCACGGTGTTCATGTGGTGTCTGTAAAGACCCTGTAGGGATTCCTTTTTAAATCTCTTAACATTTTAAAGATTTCTGTTGGTTGCTTATTTTTTCAAAAGCAGACAGACTTTCCCTTTGCTGGTTCAGTCCCCCAGTCCCACAAGAGCCGGGACTGCAGCTGGCTGCGGTGAGAAGCCTGCAGTTCTGGTCTCCTATGTGAGCACAGGGACCCAAGGACTGGATCCATCCTCGGCTGCTTCGCAGCGTGTGCAGCAGCAGCAGCAGAGCCAAGACTGGAGCCCAGGTGCAGCAGTGTGGGGAGTGGAGCATCCGAGTGGTATCCTAACCCTCTGAGCCACAACCACAGCCCCTTTAGAGTCTTGAGGGCAGCTTTCTAACACTGCTTTTCTCCAGGTGCGGTTGTGACCCTT